GTAAGAGACATATCCAGAATATGTAAAGAACTCCTACAACTCAACAATAGAAAGACAACCCAATTAAAAACTGAGCAAAGGATCTGAATAGACTTTTCTCCAAAGAAGATAAACAAATGACTAATAAGCATTAGTCATTCCCTAAGATTAGCCATTAGGGAAATGCAAATCGAAACTAGAGTGAACTGCAGCTTCAAACCCACTAAGACAGGTAATATTAAAAAAAAATCATACGAAGTGATGACAAGAATGTGGAGAAACTGGAACCCTCATGCATTGCTGGTGGGAATGTAAAATGGTGCTGACATTTTAGAAAACAGTTTGGCAGGGGCGCCTGGGTGGCTCAGTTGGTTAAGCGTCCAACTCTTGGTTTCAGCTCAGGACATGATCTCAGGGTCGTGAGACTGAGCCCGCAGTGGGCTCCATGCTGAATGGAGCCTGGCTGCTCACCTAGAAATTCTACCCCTATGTATATACCCAAGAGAAATGAATACATATGTCCACACAAAAATTAGTACAATCATGTTCATAGAAGCAGTGTTCTAACAGCCCCAAACGGAAACAACCCAAATGTCAATCAACTCATGAATAAATAAAATGTGGTATATCCATACAATGGAATACTACTCAACAATAAAAAGAATTGAAGTACTGACACAAGCTACCACATGGATGAGCCCTGAAAATATTATGCTAAGTCAAACACACACACACACACAAACACACACACAACCCCACACTGTACAGTTCCATTTATATGAAATATCCAGAAGAGGCAAATGCATAAAGACAGAAAGTTGTGATTGCCTGGGGAGTGGGGAAAGAATGGAGAATGACTACTAATGGATGTTGAAGTGACGAAAATGTTCTAAAATTAAATTATGGTAATGGTTATACAATTCTGTGAATATACTAAAAACCAGTGAATTATATACTTTAAAGGGGTGAACTGTTTGGTGTATTAATTATATCTCAATAAAGCTATATATTTTTTAAGAATTTTATTTTTTATTATTTTTTTAAGATTTTATTTATTTATTTGAAAGAGAATGAGAGAGAGAGAGCATGAGAGGGAGGAGAGTCAGAGGGAGAAGCAGACTCCCTGCTGAGCCGGGAGCCCAATGCAGGGCTCGATCCCGGGACTCCAGGACCATGACCTGAGCCAAAGGCAGTCACTTAACCAATTGAGCCACCCAGGCACCCCTCAATAAAGCTATATTTTTAAAGGCTGTATATTTCACTGTTAAATTTAAAAGCTTAAAAACAAAATCTTAAATAGCATAAAAGACTGAATGTTAATTGCTAGTACCCAAAGAGCAAAATGAGGAAATGACTTCTACTGAATAGTGATATGAAAGAAGACTAGAAATAAGCGATGGGATTTGAAAAATGAAAATATGGAGCTATCGATCATGAGTGATTTCTGATCAATATTTTAGTATTAGCACTACAGAGCAGGAATCAATATTATTTTAAAAACAAGACAGGTCCTGGGTGCATGGGTAGCACAGTCAATTGAGTGTCCAACTCTTGAATTCGGCTCAGGTCACGATCTCAGGGTTGTGAGATCGAGCTCTGCGATGGGCTTAGCACTCAACACAGAGTCTGCTTGAATTTCTCTCGCTCTGCCCCCTCCTGCTCATGCATGCATTCTCTCTCAAATAAATTTTCTTTTTTAAAAAGAAATTAAAAATAAAAATTAAAAAAAAAAAAAAGACAGGCCCTAATATCTTATGGGCCTCTTTCCTCATCTGCAAAATTAGGACTTGCAGCTAACAAAATAATTTTTAAGATGAAGACAGAGAAGGGGCACCTGGGTGGTTCAGTCATTAAGCGACTGCCTTCAGCTCAGGTCATGATCTCAGGGTCCTGGGATTGAGCCCCACATCAGGCTCCCTGCTCAGTGGAAGGCCTGCTTCTCCCTCTCCCACTCCCCCTGCTTGTGTTCCCTCTCTCGCTGTGTCTCTCTCTGTGAAATAAATAAATAAAATCTTACAAAAAAAAGATGAAGACAGAGAAGAAAGAGACGGCTGCTTTCCCGAAAGAATTTGTTAGGCAACAGCCTCTATATGTGTGGATATGCTTGGACCTTTCAGAATACAGTGAAACAGGAGAGGTACTCCCTTATGATATATGGGAATTGACTACCATTGCATGCACTGTTCAAGATTAAAATAAGGAGAGCTATACAATGAAAAAGTCAAGCCATTGTGGCTCCTCAAACAAAAACGGGTAAGACTGGAAGACTAATTTGGTATCCCAGAAGGGAAAGAAAGAAAGTAATGATTCACAAGCAACAGCCGGCAAAGGAAAGACTGGTTAGGCAATGTAGCTAAGTGGATTTTTGCGAAGAGCAGATATTGTGGGGATGGGTATACTAATCTTACATTTACCACAACTACTGTTCTTCTCTTCTTTAGTTCCTCTTCAGTTACAAAACCCAGCTCAGGAACAGCTAAGAGTCTAGTGCTTTAGAAATGCTACTTCAAAAGATGGAAGAAATGGAAAGGACTATGAAGAGCGGTAGCGGAATTTGAGATTTACAGTTGAGGGGAAAGTTAAGGAAGAGAGCCTAATGCCTTAATCAAACCTATGTAATGACTGTGATGGAAAAACAGAGGGGATAATAATGATGGAGGGGCATCCAGGGTAAGGCGTGGGCTCTGAAACATCAAGTCTGTGCAAGCTGCTGCCTCTGAATGGGATAAGGGAAAACGGTGAGATCATCCCCTATGAATATGGGCAGAAACCACCTAGACTAAAGACAAAAACTGGGTACTAGTACTTGCATTACAGGATGTTCAAGTGCTTGAATCTTGGGGATGACAGTAAGATTTAGGGTTACCTGCCAAACACAGGATGAGGCCAAAAATTAAGAGCCCCTAATAATGATCCACGGAGCCAGGAAAAGCAATTAAAACTGGTAGGATAGGGCAGTCATTCTCAAACCCCCCTTTTTTTTTTTTAACCATGTCCCCTTAGGGCAAAAGATCCCATAATCCACCTACCCCTACAAAAGTCCACCTTTTAGGGAAAAAAGAACTCAGTGATAACAATGAAGTAAATTTTAGGGCAAATGGGTAACATATTTTAACCATAATGCATATATCCTAAGTCAAGACACTAGAAAATTATAGGCCGAAATTCAGTTGAACAGATATGCATTATGATTCAGTGGAGGGTTAACATAATAAATCACAACAAACTACACTGATAACACTAAATTAAAGTCACTTATCATATAAACCAAGAACGACAGCAATTGAAAACCACAGCCAACTCAAGACAATATTGATGGTGTTCTGATAAAGAATCCTTCCTAAAAACTCTGGTAATTCCAACTGCTCCAGTGGGAACTTTGCTTGGCTGCGAACTGCAGCTCAGTAGCCAAATTTCTTAGTAAAATACTGAAACAGCAACCTCAGTAACTCCAGTAACATTTTGTGCTATAAAAACCCAATGTTAATAACCATTAATAATGCACTTAGAATACTAGTAAGTAGTCTGTAGTTTTTATAAAAGATTATGAAATAAGGATCATTCACCCTTTAGAGCTCAAGAAAATGGGAAAAGAAAGGAGTATGACGGTCATGATCCCAATACAATAAAGGGACTACTCAGGATGGTCATGACCAGAGAAGGCACAGAGGGAAATAGGCTAACAATGTGCCCGAGAGAAGAAAGATGTGCAGGTGGAGATGAGGAGTAAAGCCTCCAGCCTGCTCCTCTTTCATTCAAACACTCTTTCATAAGGCAACTCTCCCTATGGAAAAAAAAAAAAAAAAGCAGTGAGTAATAACTCCTTTTTTGAAGAGAGGAACAGTGTCCCAAGACTGTACAAGCTGGGTAGGAGAATTATCTATCTACTGACTGCATGGAGATCAGGAGGTACAACAGAAAGGATGAAGATGAGTTAGTTCCAGGGCACTAGTAAACAGGGGAAAGGGAAAGGTGACTTGAAATTGAATTTGGTGAGTAATTAACAGGAAGTACAGACAGATGATAATCACCAATGGAGACATAACAACAGAGATTAAGAATGCAGACCCTGGATCCAGGCAGCCTGAGGAGGAATCACCACTCCCCCACTTTCTGTGTGACCTTGGACAAGTCACTTAACATCTCTGTGCCTCATCTGTAAAATGAGGGGAATAATAATATCCACCTAATAGGATTGTTCTGCGATTGAAATGTTTCACTTGTAAATTGCTTAATACAATGTCTTGCACTGTACATAGTAAGTGGTGCCTGAGTTTTGATAAATACACGAAGTTGAGGTAGGTGGAGGTTTGTTTTGACATCTACAAATAAAATGGGGGTGAGGGGGCAAAGTAAGAGTATAAGGGGGTAGGCAGAAGGGGTAATAACTTTTTCTCAACGATGAGACTACCATAAGGCTGCACCTTTGGAAAAGGTCTTCCTACTAACAGGGTTCAGCAAGTACCCCGTCCCAGGAGAGGGGCGCGGGTTGAGGGAAACTTCCTTCCTTCCAGGCCTAAGATTTTCAGAAACTCGTTTCTGAGAAGTGGCTGTGATTTTAAGAAGGCACGAGTTTAACTTCCGACCATCAGACCGTGGGTGAATTTATATTTTGTCTGTTAAGCAGGACTTAGGTCTAGGACAGGATGGGGTTTGAGTCGGAGGGGAAGGGTGATGTCCCCAAGGGGAAAATCTGCTAAAAGCCACCATCTGCCGGGCGCGCTCCAGTCGCCCAGCTCCGTGCTAACCTCGGAGGGAGAACCAAGGCTGCCCCAGCCTGGAGGAAGGCAAGAGGAGCCTCCAGAGTAACTGGGCTTTGGGCGCCGGCGGTCGAGGAGGGACCCACGTCCGGGCTGTGGAGGGAGACCCGCCTCGCCGAGGGTGGAGGTCGCTCGCTGGGATCCTCGAAGGGAGGGGCCGGCGCTGGCCCTGCGGGCGGCCGGCCGGGCGCAGAGCCCTGAAGGAGCCTGGCCCCTGTCCCGCCCGTGCCCGCCCATCGGTGGCCCCGGTCCCCGGGGTACCTGAGGGTGGGCCCGATGCAGGCCGTGTCGGTGCTCTCGATCTCTCGCAGGATCCGCTCGTGCTCCGCGGCTGTCTCCAGGCTCTCCGCCTCCGCCATCTTACCCCGCTCCATAGACTGGGGGCGCCCGGCAGCGCGTCCCCTCCGTCAGCTCCCCTCACCTTTGGCTCCCTCTCTCACCCTAGGTTCCAGAGCCTCCCCAGCCTCCGGCTACCCGCAGGACGACCCCTCCCTCGGGCTCGGCACGCCCCCTTGCATCACCGCGTCCGCCGACGTCCCGCGCAACGCCTGCTGGGACCTGTAGTTCTCTGGGCAATGACCGACTGGGTCCTGCTCATTTATTTTTTGAATCCACAAATGCGTGTAGAAAACGCCACTATAAGCCAGGAACAGTTAACGACACCGCATGTGCAACGGTAACCAAGTCAGGCAATGGCACTGATTCTACAAATTCTTGTTTAAGACCCTTGCCACAAAGTGCACCAGGCCCTGTACACGCGAAAAATAAGAAAGAACAAACTGGGTTTCTGCAGATAGCGATCTTACAAGCTCTCAGGGGGAGAAAGCTGGAGAATCCCCAAACTAAGAAATAAGACAGAATGTGGCTGTGAGCCAGTTCTGAGAAGAGAGTTCAGGGATCAGTTCTGACTGTGAAGGATTCATAGAAAGACTGGGCCTGGTAGTTTAAAAGGTGTGATTGGAAGGTGTTAGGAGCGTCCAGAAAGCCAACAAAAAGTTCATATGCTCTGGCGTGTACAGAAGTAGTAGTAAAAGATGGGGCTGCAAAGGTACCCTGAAGAGAAATACTGGGCTGAGAAATTTGTACTTTATTCTAATGGTTCCACTGGTCCAACAACAGACTGCATCAGAAGCACTTGGAAATGTTTTTTTAATGCAGACTAAAGGTCCTAAACCATCTGGACATTCTGATTCAGGCATTTGCATTTCCCCAGATTAGAATTTCAAAATCATATTTATTGATCACTGCTTGAGTTTTTACATGATACAGTGAATGGAAATCTACTGGAGGTTTTTAAGAGTGACATAATCAGAACCTTGGCATAAAACTTGGTCAAGAGCAAGTATCTGACGTCTGCAGAGATAGAAAATTTGGAGATGGCTGAACGCTATAAGAATTTTAAGGCCTAAACCAGGAAAGTAGCAATGAGAATGAAAGAGAATGGAGAAATGGAAAAAAGCAGAATTGGCATGACTTACTAGATATGGGAATGGAGGACTTTGGGTATCACTCCAAGGTTTGGAGCAGAGTGACTGGGAGAATGATTTGCCATCAACAAAAAGGCGTGTAAGAACCAAACTGGAAGTTGAGGGTAAATCATTTCTGCTCCAGCCACATACCATGGATTATTTATTACACGATCATTAAAGAGAAAAAGAAAACACTCTATATTCAGATACGAAACTGTCTCCAAATTGTAGGGTTGAGTGGGAAAAAGCAAGGCATGAAACAGTATACAGAATATGTTTTCATTTGTTTTTTTGAAAAGAATATTTATATATATGCTTATATATACTTGAAATATGACATAGAATATTTCTGAAAAGATACCCAAGGGGCGCCTGGGTGGTTAAGCATCTGACTCTTGCTTTTGGCTGAGGTCATGATCTCAGGGTCCTGGGATCAAGCCCCACATTGGGCTTTATGCTCAGCATAGAGTCTGCTTGAGATTCTCCCTCTCCCTCTGCCCCTCCCATTCATGCTCTCTCTCTCTCTCAGATAAATAAATAAATCTTAAAATATATATATAGCCAAGAAATTGTTAACAGTAGTGGCAGCCAGAAGCAGGATTGGAAGGAAGGGGCCTAAAGTAAAAGAAAGGTCATTTTTAATTATGTATGCACTTTTGGAATTCTTTCCCTTGTGCATATACTGCTTTTTTCAATAAAAATAGTAGTTATTAACTGAAAACACATTTTAAAAATAAACAAACCAACAGTGGGGAGAATGAGTTACAAGTCCTGGTGTTTGCCAAGAACTGAGTAAGTTGCTAAACCTGTCTGTTTCTCGATAATCTCTGGCTGTCCTCATTTTATTTAATTACTCATGCTTAAACAATCCCAGACAGATGTAGGAGAGGCAGGGAAAGTATGGAGCCTTTCATATTTCTAAAGATCTCTTGAAATACATGACAGAGGGTCCCTTCAGACACGCATTTTAACATCTCACTCAGCAAAAAAAATTTTGTCCATTACAGGAAGCAGACTGATATGTAGATCAGATATGTATAGTAGCGATTAAAGTAGCTTCCGCTGCTGTCAGCAGCTTTTCTGAGCCCTCGTAGAATCCAGAAATCTCATACATTACCAACAAGGGTGTCTGGAGTGACGAGTGTACAAAGCTACAGTGAAGACAGCCTGCCTAATGTGAATGCCCTCTAAATAGAGAGAATGTTAGGTCAGTGTGGAATGACCCGACAAGGACTCAACTAAGAGTCAGAGGGCCTTTAATTCAGCTCCGGCACTGTAGTTAAACTGTATCGAGCACTTTCTGTGTGCCAGGCACAATACACAAAGTAAGCACTTCACGTAGATCATTGAATTCTTACATTAATCCTTTGCAGTAGATACTGTGTATCCCATTTTATAGATGAGAAAGCTGGGAAATTATAAAGCTGAGGTAATACCTCAAGTCTCACAGCTAGTAAATGATGAAACTGTTATTTGAACTGAGGTCCATCGGATTCTACTGCCCATTTCCTGACCATTCGGCCATACCATCCCACCCATACCCTCCACTGCCGTGAATTGATTGTGAGAGCTTACACGAATCATTCTGTCTCTCTGCATCTGCGTCCACATTACTATCACGGATTGTGAAATTTCTCAGCCCCCTTCCAAATCACCTTAAAGACCTCTTCACAGAACTACCTCCAGGGAAATGCAAATCAACCATCACATGGCTTGGCTGAGAGTTTTCTCAAATCGTCACACATCAGCAGACCTTTCCTAATAAATGTATTGAAAAACATCCGCAGAGAAGTGGGCCTGCACAGTTCAGAGCCATGTTGTTCAAGGGCCGACCGTGTTAATACATGACTCTACCTTGTTTCCATCACACGGTGTGATCTTGAGCGGCAGGAGGAATGACCCTACCGCTCATTAAATGCCTGTGGGGCTCCAGGATAGGCTTTCCCTCGCTCAGGCTTCACCATCATCCTGCTGCGAGACAAAAATGGTTTTCTCCATTTTAATGATGAAAAACTAAGGCCCGGTGTGGTCCAGTAACTTGCCCAAGGTCAGATGGCAAATAGCTTGACAGACTGAGGTCAGTAGCCAGGCCCAACCTCAAAGCTCATACACTTTCTTTGACTGTTTTGACCGTTCCAGTCTATCTCTCCAGCTGTACCGTGAGCTCCTTGGGGGCAGGGGTTGCCCCAACAGAGGGCTCGCCCGGTAAGACCCGACCTGTCCTGGGTGCAGAGCATCATGCTCCTTCCTTCTGGCTCTCTCCATAGTCCTGAGGTAGGATTCCATGCTGGCGGGAGGGTGAAGGAGAAGAACAATCATTGAACAGCATGTGAAAGCAGCTCAGCCCCCAGGGCTCTCTTTGTCATGTTTGCTGCTCCAGCCTCTTTAGGGGCTGTGAGGAGGCCTCCCTGGAGTCTGAGCTCACTGGGTCCCCTGGGCGGTGATGTCAGCCTCCTGCTCTGTCAGACCCTTAAGGCCACAATCCCACTGACATCACCCATGTTTCCGTGGCACTTAGTAAGGAACTGAGACCCCGTCCACAGGCCCCTGCCTGAGACAACTTCTGTAATCATGATTTTGGGGGTCCTTCCCTTTGCCCAGAGGTCTCATTTCATGTGTGAGCAGTTTTTCTTGCCATCTCTCACCCTAATTTGCCTGTCCCTGAAAACGGTAAGCTTCGCTCATTACTTCGCTCTACACATACACTGCCTGGAATCTCTGACACACCAACATAAATCAGGAAACACAGGGAATTAAAAAAAAAAAAAATCTCCCTCAATGATCTTGTCAGACTGGAAAAGGGAGAAGAGAAGCAAGAGGAAATTCGGACAACTTGTCAACTCTTCCAGGACCTGACTGTCGCAGGGCTGCTCCACTTTAAAGTGGTTGGGAACTTGTAAGGGCTTCAACCCTGCATTTTTGGGTTTTTAACTTGTCAGTCTTTGTTAGCCATAAAGACGCCATCTCCATAGAAGGCTTCTCCCCTCCATTTTGGCAAAGTAGTCATCAAACAACCAAATAGTCGCTTACCCAAATACCTGGCACTATGGGATATGGCTGAAAATACAAATTAGACAGATATTCCTCATCTTAAAATCCTCACATCGTTCCCATTGCACTTAGAACAAAATCCAAACTTAAACCATGGTCCTGTGCACCTTCCCCCCCCCCGACCACCCCGGCTTCATCTCGCACCGCTCTTCCTGTGTTCGCCCCCTCTGGCCACATCAGCCATCTTGCAGACCGGCAAACACACCAAAATCTTGACCACTTTAGGCTTCACAATTTACATTTCTGTTGAGGGCTGCAGGATGAGTGGGAGTTAGTAGGTCTTAGATCAGTTAGGTCAGTTATCTCCTGAGAGACAGTGACAAACAGAATGTGACTGATGTGACTAATGACTTGAGCATGATGTTTGAAGTATTAAAAGTCCACATTGAAAAGATCTGGCAGGGGATGCCTAGGTGACAAGGTTGGGCACCTGCCTTTGGCTCAGGTCATGATCCTGGGGTCCTGGGATGGAGCCCTGCGTCGGGCTCTCTGCTCAGCAAGGGGTCTGCTTCTCCCTTTCCTCTGCCCCTCCCCCTGCTCCTTCTCTCTGTGTCTCTAGCAATCTCTCTCTCTAATAAATAAATAAAATCTTTAAAAAAAAGAAAAGAAAGAAAGAAAGAAAGAAAGGAAAGATCTGGCAGGCCTGGCCATAAGAGAAGTAATGATCAAGCCAGGGACCTTGGGGGGCACCTGGGTGGCTCAGTTGTTAAGCATCTGCCTTTGGTTCAGGTCATGATCCCGGGGTCCTGGGATCGAGCCCCGCATTGGGCTCCCTGCTCGGCGGGAAGCCTGCTTCTCCTGCTCCTCCTCCTTCTACTTGTGTTCCCTCTCTCGCTGTGGCTCTCCCTGTCAAATAAATAAAATCTTAAAAAAAAAAAAAAAAAAAAAAGCCAGGGACCTTGGGATTTGGTCAAGGTGCTGCTCCCATAGAGGAGGGAAGGCAGGGGCTGAGTTAGTGCACTA